ATAAACAAATAAAAAATGAATTAAAAAGAGATGAAAAAATAGAAATAAGGAAATAAATATATTTAATAAAAAACTAGAATGGCTATTGGTAAAGACTAAAAAGCTAGAGATTCTTGTAATTAGACATGAAACAAGAAAGAAGTTGATAAGAGTGAAGAAACTTCACTCTTGCTTCTATATATACTATCTACCTAAAAGCTACATGGTGACATTCTACAAGACCTCCAATATAAGTCCAATTTGCAAGATACATGTCTAACTTACAAAATAAGTTTTCTATATATGTGCCATGTAGTTAACTTATTCTACAAACTACTAACATGTGTGACATGTAGCTAACTTGTTGGCCAAGTTTTTAACCTATCTATCACAAATAGTTATGTATAAAAGTGAAACTATGTCTATAAAGCTTCTGAGAAGCTTTTCTATAAGATATTATCAAATTAATCTACTTTTATCTGCTTCTACCTATGCATATTATTAAGATATTATTAAAATAAATATGTCTATGATACAACCATAAAATAATTTTTTATAACTTTTATATAGCCAACAATATTAATTTCTATTAGAATATATATATAATATATATAAATCTAATTCATATATTAACTTCTAAATAAAATTTAATATTTAATTTCACCATTCAATATAAAATTAGCTTTAATATCTATAATCAATTTATAATAAATATATAACTTAAGATTTTTTAAATATACTTTTTAAAAACTAAAAACATATGTATATATATATATATATATATATATATATATATATATATATATATATATTATTTATTTATTTATTTATATTTTAATAAAAATATATTTAAATTTTTATTAAATAAAATATATAAATACATAAAAAAATATAAAAAAATATAAAAAAATATTATGTAAAGATTATTTACTTTATATTTCTATTATATATATATATATATATATATATATATATATATATATATATATATATATATATATTAAATTAACATAATTTTTTTTTCAGTATTCATATGTTGTTTTAAAATTTGATCTTTGAAAAAAAAAACAAAATTTCAATCATGCATCTAAATTAAAATTATAGTTATACTTAATCTGATAAAAAAAAATATTCATATGTAATTAGATATTTTTAAAGTAGCAGCCATAGTTTCAATTTTAATCCAATAGTTGAATATTCTTAGTTGCAAATTATTAGTTTTGAAACCAAGAACATCTATGATAATAAAAAAAAATGATAAAAAAAAAAAAATTAATCAAATCAATATATTAATCTAAATATAATAACTATCTTGGTATTTATTTCAATAAAATATTATATAATTGTATATTTCAATACAACATGTAAGAATAATTAATAGATTTAATGATTATTTACAATCACTTTTGTGATTTTAAACATATTTTTATTAATTTTAATACTAAAATGATTAATTAATAGATCTAAATTAGTTTATTAATTAATGATGGTTTTTATTGTATTTTTTAGATTAATAATTAAGTAGATACTTTCATTTATTAGATTGATTGATTATTAAAAACTCTAAAAATAGTGAATTTAGAAGGTCTATGATTTTTTTTCTTGATTTGGTTTAAATTTTGTTTTAGTGCTAAAATTAATATTTTAGTAGAATTTTTCTTCTAATTTATAGAAATTATATCTTGAATTAATCCACAATCTTAATGTTTAATATCAAGGCTAATTTCTAATTCAACTATGGTTAAAACCCTCTCAAATCTAATTGCTATATCTTCCTAATTAATTTCAAGATTATGAAGTTTAAATTCTATTTTACAATTTAAAATAAATATAAAATATAAAATCTAATTGTTAAATTTATTATGATCTTTAGAAGGTAGAGATGAGCTATTCTTTTTGGTGGAGTTTCCTCAATTAGTGATATTAATCACTATCTAAAATTAAAAAATCAAAAAATCAAAAATCAAAATCAAAAGCATATTAATTTAAGGCCAAATTACAATTGGGATTTTGATTTGCCAAGAGTTCATGCTTAAGGGAGTTTAAATTGAAGAATGGTGATCATAATGGCCTTAATGGCAAGAATCCTTGCTGATCTCTTAAGTAGGCTAATTAGAATTAAAATTATAGTCGAAGTTTACAATTAAATTAGCAAATTAATGGATTTTAATGATTTAGAACTTGGATTTGGTCTTGTGAGCAGTCAATCTTGGAATAAAAATGTGTTCTAGACACATTGGTGGTGTTAGTTTTATCAAGAAAATGTTATTTTTTGAGTTATAGGCATTTCCAGCCTTGAAATCGGATTCAAGCTTAAGATTATTGTGGACCCTTGATCTTAATTAGAGATTTTGGATTTGGATGGTAGATATGTGGTTGCCACCTAGGAGCTTCCTCCCACTGGGTTAAAGGGATATTGGGCAGCTACACACTCTCTCTTTTTTTTTTTCCTTGTAGAGCAAAGCTATGTCAATTTTTCTCTCTCTTCCTTGCTTCTAATTCAATAAAAACTCCCTCCATTTTGTAACCACTTGAGTTTCTACCTCCATGTTCCTTTAGTTGTTCTTTTTTTTTTTTTTTTTTTCTTTTGTAACATTTTGTGACCACCTTTTTCTAGTTACTAGCTTTCTAAAGACACCAAGCACGCATTATTTGAAGCTTTGATGAATTATTGGCAAATTTTCAAGTAAAGAAGGATGTCTTGCCTTGGCCACGAAAAATTGCCAACTTCAAAAAAATTATTGCTCAGTGATCTCTATCTTGCTTTCCAATTAATTGATTTAATTGCTGTGCTCTATAGTCTAGTTTTTTTTTAAAAAAAAATAAATTAGAATTTTTGAAGCTTTTATGAATTTTTAGTGAGTTTTTGAATAAAGAAGAATTTGTTACCAGATGGTACAAAGGCAATGCAATAGAGTTAGCTTGGAATTTTATAGTGTAGTGCTTGTTAAAAAAAAAATTTGAAAATTAATTGCAATAGAGGAATCTTGAGGTCTTATTCTAAAGAAAATTTAAGTTGGAATTTTTGAAGCTTTTATGAATTATTAGTGAATTTTAAAGTGCAAGGGGATCAATTGCCCTAGCAATTCTAAGAGCCCAACTTTGAAAAATCACATCTCAATCATTGCATATTGGAATATTACAAAAATTGGAAGATAGGAGCTTATCCAAGTGAAGATACAATATCTAAAAAAAAAAAAAAAAAAAAAAAAAAAAGGAGAAAGAAAAAAAAAAGAAGAGAAAGAAACTCACACACATAAAAGCTAAAGAAGATTTTGACAGATATTCAATTAATAAGGGATTGTTGCCTCAATTTGGCATAATGAAGATATGCTTTTCTTTCTTGATCATCTTCTAATTACACTTTTTAGTGCATAAATTTTTGGATTAACTCTTCACTCATCTTATTATCTTTAATTAATATTACATTGATTGAACCTTTTACCTCATTTTGGTAATTATTTTTTAATTTTTAACTTTTTATTATCTTTCTACCTTCAATTTTTAACCTTATGTTATTTCAATTTTTACTTCACTTTTAATTTTAATTTTTTTATTTTCAACTTTTAATTTTTATGTTATTTTATTTTAATTTAAGTTTTAATTTTAATTTTATTTTATACCTTTTACTTTTAATCCTTATGTTATTTTATTTTAACTTAATTTTTAACTTCAATTTTACTTTTTACCTTTAACTTTTAATATTTATGTTACTTCATATTTAATTTATCCTTACCTTAATTGTTGATCTTTAACTTTTAATGTTATTTTATCATTTTAGAAACAAGTCAATTAGATGTTTGGACTTAAAATAATAATAATAATAATAATAATAATAATGTGAGGTTATTTATTATTCAACTTAAGAAATTTAATTTAATTAACTTATAAGAAGAATTTAATCCACTCCATCTAGTGGCATTTATTTTAGCTCACACAACATATTAAATGTGATTTTATCCATGATTACTTTCAAAATTGTAATTTTTATTACATGTTTAAGTGTTCTTATAGTAAGTTACTTATGTAGCATAAAAGTTTAGAAACTATATTTTTTACTTTTATGATTTAATGTAAGAAAGAAACAAGCTTATTTAAATATTAATATAAACTATATGTATGTTTTTATTAAAACTATTATTCAATTTTTTTCAATATTAGTTATAATTTTATTTTATTGTAAATAATTAATTATAAGTTATTTTATTATCTTGTAAAATTAATGTATTTTATAATTTTAAAATATACATAAGAAAATAAAATTTAGTACATAAAATTACTTAATGATTAAAATTATATTAGAAGTGGCATTAAAGGCTTACTTTGGAAGTAACATAGTAAAGTGAGGTATTGATGAATTTTAAAATATAATAAAATATTCTTCTACAATGCAAATAATTTCATAAAGAATTATACTAAATTATTTTAATTGTATTATGTACACACACACACATATATATATATATATATATATATATACTATATGCATACAAAAACTAAAAATTATATGTATAAATTATAATAAAAAAAACATGCGTGCTGGTAAAGATGCAATAAAAAATCAAAAAGAATGTAATCACAAAAATATTATGGTACTGATTGTTGATATAGTTCAAATTTTATATATATATATGCATCCAACAAAGAAGATTTTTTTTTATTATAATAAATACTTCTTAATTTTTTATTCTATCAAATACTTTGTCTTCCCCACAAATAATTCTACACTAATTTGTATACACGTGCGTAGCTTTTCCTTCGTTAATTCGCCAGTTATGACTTTGTGGGCGTTTCTCCGCCTTGCACACCCCGTCGGCGATGGACGGAAAACCACCCACCACGTTCGTCGCGCACCACGAAAGCCCCGTCGACCGAAACAGCCACCGACGGAGGACGACGAACGAATGCACGCACGCACGCACGCCCGTTCCGTCGCGACGGAGCACCGAGAGAGCGTCATGAGACAAAAGTCCACCCGGCGTTACGGGGGCTGACCCCGCGCCGCGAGGGGCGAGGGGAGGGTGCGTTGGGGGGAATAACGACAATGCACCGTCAGTGAGTGCGGCTGTGTGGGTGTTGCGGCCATCGCTGCATGAGTGATGTTGGGGACTCGGCCGCGATCCTTACGCTATTAGCATTGTCAGAGCTAGTTTCGATGGGGCGAGGAGGTGATCACGGCTCCTTGCGCAATGAGGAACCGTCGGTACAGCTCACCGCGGGTGGTGTGGTTGCCGTCAAGACCCTGGCAATGGACTTCTACTGGGCTGAGGCTGATGAGCCTCACGCGTCGCGCAGGAAGATGATTTTAGCTAAGTACCCAGAGATCCGCAAGCTGTTTGGTCCTGATTCGGCCGCATTCCCCCAGGTTCTTTACATTCCGGTTTTTTCTGCTGGGTTGGGTTGGGCTGGGTTGTCTCGTTTTTTTTTCATTTCATGTGATTGGCTTCTCGCCGTCGTTTTGAATGTCACGAGGCGGGAGATGCGTAGGCTCGTGAAATGGATCTCGTGTCATGAGAGTCGCGAAATAGGTTTTTGGGAGCCCTTTCCACATGCTTTTGCGGGAATTTATGCGTATCCAATGCGGTTGAGGTATGTTGGTAGTTTGTTGTAGACATTTTTTATTGTCATGAGGTTTACCCCTCGCATGAATGGTAGCATTCCTAGGTTTGCCTTTGCAACATAATGAAAGTTGTAGCGACATTTCATGTCAATCATGTTCTGTGAGAGGATGCGCTAAATCCTCCACCGTTTGTTTGTTTGTTTGAGTTTTTATCACAGTAGTTGGCACTTAAATAGTGACGCTTGGGCCTATAAAAAGACAATGGCATCTGAATGGTGTGGTAATTTTAAGATGTCCTGATATTCATCTCAACCAGGGTTTGGCATTCTGTTATGTTGATCCCTGTCAGGTCCGTGCGTAGAGAACCAATCTTGGTTTGCGTACGTGCCATCTTGCTCAAAATGGCTTTTAATACATCACTGCATTTCTCTCTATACTTTTCTTTCTTAGAGTCAGGATTAGGGTTGGAGGCATCCTGGTCCTTCTGCATTGTTTGCAGTGCACCTCTGATTTCTTCGTAGTAAATCACTTTTAGGCGTGATTTAAACTTTCGCCTTGTTTTTATATCTGTTTATCAATTTATCAATTTTTCATGTTCAATTTTTTGTATCTCTTCTGCTTCCAGGAATCACTTCATAGCCATGTTGAAATTACTCTATCTGGTAGTATAGCCAGTTTTCAAACTGTATGCAAGGTTTACGAGGCACTAGATTAACTTCAACCTCAAATCCTACATTTAGAAATAATTTGATGACTCTGTTTTGAAATTTAAGATATGTTTATTTGTGAAGCCGGCTCTTTTCTTCTTTGTTTTTCTTATTTTTATTTTCTTTTATTTTCTTCTTGTAATAATCAATGTAGCCCCTACAGTCGACAACGCTGTGCCGTAGATTTTGGTTCTGATTGATTTTCACACTATCATATCCATGTCTTGTGCAGATTGTAGCCATTGTATTGCTTCAGATATGGACAGCAACTCTCATGCAAGAGGCGAGGTGGCCAGTTGTAGTAACGGTAGCCTACTTTTTTGGAGCATTCTTGAATCACAACTTGTTTCTTGCTATTCATGAGCTAAGTCATAATCTGGCCTTCTCGACGATTGTTTACAACCGGTTGCTTGGCATATTCGCGAATCTGCCAATCAGCATCCCTATGTCGGTAACCTTCCAGAAGTACCATCTTGAGCATCACAAGTATCAAGGAGTGGAAGGTATGGATATGGATATTCCCAGTTACACGGAAGGTCGCTTGGTGACGAATGTCTTCAGTAAGATTGCGTGGGTGTTATGCCAATTGTTCTTCTATGCGTTCAGGCCTCTCTTTCTGAATCCCAAAAAACCAGGTTTCTGGGAAGTCTCGAATCTTCTTTGTCAAGTGGCGTTTGATGCTTGTTTGTTATACTTCGCGGGCGTTAAAGCTCTCGCGTATTTGCTACTCGCAACGTTTCTCGGAGGTGGTATGCACCCCATTGCGGGGCACTTCATCGCGGAGCACTACGTATTTTTGAAAGGACAAGAAACTTATTCTTATTATGGTCCTCTTAATATGCTCACCTGGAATGTCGGCTATCACGTGGAGCACCATGACTTCCCTCGAATTCCTGGTTGCAAGCTACACCGGGTTAGTTCGGACGTACACCACTCCTTGCGTTCTTAGCAATCCGACGGTTTGCTAACATTATCCTGACTTTTTTGTACATCTCTTCCAAGTGTAACTCTTCAACCTTGCTCACAATGTCGAATCAGTTTGTCTTAGTGATGTGTTGCAGTTAGGTGGTATAGAACGGCGAAAGCTTGTACTAGTGAGGGCGTGTAGGTTGAGTCTTTATAGAAGGTTGTTCAGCATACGGTGCATCGTGCGGGTGTGTAGGTTGGGTGCATTAAACCATCTGCTGACTTTATTCTGTCTCTGTTTCACGTATAGGTGAGGCAAATCGCTCCTGAATTTTACGAAGACTTAGGCCACCACACATCGTGGTCGTATGTGATTTACAAGTACATCACGGATGCTACTGTGGGACCCTTCAGCAGGATGATGAGAAAAGCTGAGTCTCGCACTGTTAAGACAAAGCATGGCAAAACCAACTGAGCATGTGGCCCTGATGTTGCGACGAACTGCTAAAATACCCCTACCCTCTACCTGCTCCAGAGTCTTTACTACGATTTCCATGAATGATTTGGCGTGGGTGAAATCCTAATCATCAGCACCCACAATATGCTCCTGTGGATTTTCGGGTCATCGCATTCCACCACTGCAGTGGCGGTGGAGGAGCAGGCGAATCTCTGCATTTATTGAAAGCAGGGATTGGAAAGGGGGAATTTTTTGGTCTCAGCATACACTCGGCATCTTACTATTTTTTTTTCATACAAAAGCAGTGACATATTAGAATGTATTCTAGGTAGATCCTCTGACAACACCAGATGTGGAAACAAGGGATCATGTCCTGTGTTTCTCTTTGCTCACACTTCATCGATTGTGTGCCAAATGCAATGAGACCCGAAAGGTTCTAGTAGAAGATCAATCAAACATTATTTTTTTGAGTACCCAAACCGTGTCACTGCGTTTTTTGTCTTTTCCAAACCTTATTGAGGTATCAATGTTTGTGTGTGTGTGTGTTTGTTCTTTTTTTCTTTTTTTTTCCCCGAATGGTGTTCCAAAGAATACCAACAGTAGAACTGATTTTATCTCTCCAGTGTGAAAGAGCAACCAAATGTCCGTTCCAAGCAAAACCCAATTTTCTACACTACCATGAAGTACAGATCCTGACTTTGGGCTCTAAAGTGATGGACTGTCAAAGAGTTGAATAATTTCTTCAATGTCAGACACGGAAGCTAGTAGAAACTTCCATCTAGTGTGGCTTTTCAAACCTTCCTTTCTAAGTCATGTGGCCCCCATGGCAGCTTAGAATCTCATATTCTCCACCTTTCAACCATCAGCAAGGATTTTATTTTGGTACACTAGGATTTTCTTATATATTTTTGACTACGACTTTCCACTTCAGGGTCTAGAAATGCTGTGATTCATGTAATACTCTACTCGAAGTAAGAAAAAGAATTGAAAAGAATGGCTCTAAGATGAACAGAACGTCATCCCAAAGAATGCAATATAAGTTCACTTGTGATAGCAATTATATTTTAGTTAATACAACTATTTGCTGCAATGCGATCATATGCCGTTCAGTGATTGCCCAGAATTGTTGTGTCCACATATACCTATTGTTTGACACCCAATTTTATTTCCAACTTTTTTGAATGTCTATTCCATTAATTGGGATCTTCCTCTTCAAGTATACAATTTTTTTTTTATCAATTCCTAAACATTCATTGAATACTTTGGGAACATGAACTAGTTGGCAGTAGGAATCAAAAGGCTAGAATGAATCATGTTCTGAGCACTTTAGAGCAACCAAGTGAACACAAGCCTTTTTTTATTTTTTTATTTTTTTTGATACTATTGCAGAAATATAGCTCATATCTTTTCTTCTCTATTTTTGTTTTATATACAATTTCAAATGTACTTTTATTGCTTTTGGATTTTTGCATGTTTGAAAAAATAGCTCCAAAACAGTGTATTGAACAAAAATAAAAAATAAAAATATATCTTACTAGGGTAAGATCACAGCAATGTAATATGCAAATTCAACATCTTCAATCTTGGTATTAATCTCCTCCTTGATAACAATAGAACTGTTATTGATGGCTGTGGTGTTAGTGGCAATCTCCATCTCATTTGCAACTCTAGTAGCTGTAGGTGTTGTCTTGACTCAAAAGATTGATGATCCATGTAGAAATCTAAACCCTAAATGCACAAGTGTATGATTTCTATCCTTGTTGGTCTCACATTTGTCTATTTGTTGTAAGAGCAATCATCACTATAAAAGAAGATGCTATAATAAAAAGTTGCATGAACATGAGTTATTTTATTTGTTAATTTTAGTCAATAATTTTCTATAGATATTTACGTCTTAAGAATTTAAGCATATGAGCCTAACATAGGATGGAATTCAACACTCAATTTATTTAAAGAAATAATAAGCTTAAAAAATTAAAAAATAAATCAGTATTCAAAATTGTTCATGTAATCGCATCTCCAAGACCATAGTTACTCTCACATAAAATTGTATGAAAAGAAGTTTATGAGTTATAATGAGAAAATGATACATTTTTAAAAATATGATATTAGACGATTGGTGATATTAGATAATTGGTAATAAATTTGTGGCTAAGAATTTGTGTGACAATGATTAAAGATATAAATCCCATACTTTCAAATTTTAAGCTTATTTGAATAGCTAGATCTTGGATAATAAATTTTCAAGCTTCAAGTTTGTTCATTTATTACAAATATAGTTTTGTAAATACTCAATGGGAAATCTAAGAAGGTTTTGTGCATATTAGACCCAACTTAAATACAAAGTAGAATCCTACATCTATCTAAAGTAGAATCTTACTACAACATATTGGTGCTTTCATTGAGAGCTACTTTAAGAGCAATCAATTGAGTTAGGAATTATGGTTTAGGATATAAGGTTTAGAATTACATAGGTGTCTCCAATATTTGAGCATCAATATTTTTAGATTTTGACTTGACCTATCTTCTTATTTATGGTATCTAGAATTTTAATAGTATAATTATTTTTCTATATATATTCATAGTTTGAAAGATATAACTACTTTGACTTGGATTTTAGGATTTTGATTTTTATCATACAAAGGTTTTTGAAATTTTTGAAAAGTCCATTGGATCCATTTAAGAATCGTCAATTTTAAACATGTACTTGAAGTTTTCAAAAAGTGCATACATTTGGAGATATTAAGTATTTGATTATTTTGACTTTTGAGTTGACTTTGAATATGAATAAGAAATTTTGAATTTTAAATTAACCTACCTTTCTATTTTAAGGATCTTGAAATGTAGTAGTGGACTTGAAATCTTATACATATTTTTTAATTTTGAAATATAAGGCATTTGACTTGATACAATTTTCTGTTGATTTTTTTTGTACTTTGTCTTTTTGAAGTTTTGATTCGACCTACCTCACTATTTACAATGCTTTTGATTCTAATGGTATATTTGAAATCTTGAGCAAGTTTATAGTTTAAGAGATATGAGGTTTTCAAAATCACAAAAGTTGTCTTTGATTAATATATGACAATTTTTTTTAAAAAAATATGTAATAAATACATAGAAGTACCTATATATAATAATAATATTTTAAATAGAATATGTAGGTATATATCTTTTTAAGATTTAGGATTTAGGATTATAAAGGTGTGTCCGATTTTTAGGCATTAATATTTTTAGGTTTTGACTTGATCTACCTCCCTATTTGTGGCATCTAGGATTTCAATGGTGTATTTATTTTCCTATACATATTCATAATTTAAAAGATATAGCTACTTTGATTTAGACTTTAAGATATTGACTTTTGTCATACAAAGGTTTTTGAAATTTTTAAAAGGTTCATTGGATTCATTTGAGGGTTTAAGATTTGGAATTTAGGAGTTAAGTATTAAGAATTTATGTTATATATGTATTTCTAAAAAATGAGCATACTTTAGGATTTACGATTTAGGATTTTAGGGTTTAGGATTTAGGATTACAAGAATATTCTTGAGGTTTTTGATTCTAAATATCTCACAATTTATCACAATTTTTTCTATTCTAAAATTTTACCAAGGCTTATATTTTTTCAAAGACTTTTACTAATATTTTTTTTTTCGAAAGTATGTATTTCACTTATAATTTAGGATTTTAGAATCTTAATTGAGAGTTTAAAGACCATAATTAGAGATTTAAGTTTCTTATTTGTTAAGATGTAAGAATTGTGTATAGAGTTGAAATGCGTATAGAACTCTGCTTAGCCAAAACAAATCCAATAGATAGGTCGTTCATCTAGTCTAGGTCCGAAGAGTCTCTCACACCGCTTTTTGCCTCGTACAACAAATTAGTATAGATTATATAATGTTTAATTGAACTTTCTTGAATCAATTTCTTTGGGAAAAAAAAAAACAAGATAATTGATTTTCCGAAACAATTTTTGAATAGAAATTGAATCACAAATATAATGATCTCATTCGTTCATTTAATGTATGCCACAGAGATGTAATTACATACAAAAAATTTAAAAATATGGTATGTTATTTAATTTGATCCCATCAGTTGTACATGACCTCTTCTAGACATTTACTTCCACATAAGTTTTTATAACAAGTAAATAATATCAATGAAAAGTAAACCAAAACTTCAATTTATCCTATTGGGATTAAATCTTCTCATTAAACCAAATCTTAATAACCTTTTTTTAAAAAATAGATTTTTCAATTTTTGACTTTGTTGCTTGAGATTCTATATTCTAATCTAGTCTATAATAAAACTATAGAATAATTAAAATACCGAATAGTTTTTAAAAGAAATAAATCAAATCCACACTATTATAATTGACTCTGTTTGACTCCTTTAGATTTTTTGACATTTAAAAATGTAATGAAAATTTAAATAATTACATCCATTCTAAATTCATTAATAATTAATTAATTAATTTTTATTTTTTATAAAAAATCATAAAATATTTTTTGCTTTAAATAAATTTAGATGATAAATGTTTTTAGAATATTTAAATATGTATATAAGTGTGCTTTTATGTACCATAATTTATAATAAAAATAAAAATGTAAGAAAAAATACTATACGTATATAATTATATTTTTAATATATATATATATATATATATATACACACAAACACATTTCACATATCAAAAAATTATTGCCAACTTCTTCTAAAATAATTTAGTAGATGTTTTTATTTGAGAAAATTTTGAAAATTGTGTTATCTATAGTTTTTTTATTTTTTTTAATCATGTATGATTAAGACCAACATAATAAAAAATAATATATATATTTTAAAAAGTAATTAAATGGTATGAATGTAAGTTTAAACCTAAAATACAAATAAATGCACAACATGATATTATATAGAAATATTGTGATGGATTGAATGGGTTCTTCATATTTAAAAGTGTACTTTAAAAGGCTATGGTACAAAAGCTTCAAAGAAAAAAATTGTGCCACTTTTGTACCATGACTTTGTTTATGTTTGTGAAACTTTTGTAAGATTTTTTGTAAGGCTTTTGTATCATGGGTTCTCCTACTTGGTAAATAAAAACTCTTGTTTGAAAGCTTTAGCATTTGAAGCTAATATGAAGTGATTAGTAACCATGAAATGAACTAAAATTATTCTTTTATTTCAAGTCTGGAGTTACAAGCTGATATCTTAATTCTTACAAGTATAACAAACATAAAACATAAAGTTAATTTAATTTAATTCTTTTATTATTTTATTCAATTTTTTTCACATCTTATTTTTTTGTAAAACCATCTCTTAAGGTAGACCTACCACAAATTCCAAAAAACAATAGTGTTCATGCCATGTAAAAAATAGGTGCATTCATATTAACCAAGAGAAATGCAACCTATTCAATGCAATTTTAATTTCTTACTCTCTCCCTCCACAACAACAGCTCTAATCAATCACAAGACTTTTGAACCCCCAAATCAATTCCTTAATACAAACCCCTCATACTATCTATCTACAAATATAGAGAATTTTTAAATTTACTCAAGCATTTACTAAATTGTCCCACGTGTCAATATTGATTGAGGATCCAACCATTTTTTCATTGGTTTTCAACCAATTTAAATCCAGTAATGGAGAATTTTTTGATGATGGTTAGGATGGATGGGTCAGTTTAATAAATATGTGGATGAATTTAACAATTCCCTCTCTTTCTATATAATTAAATAATTAAATAAAAAGATATATATATATATATATATATATATATTCCATACACCATAAATTTCACGAGCACCTTGCACTGCCACCAGCAACTCCCCCCATCAATGACAACAATCCAAATTATGCACACAAACTCTTCTCAATTAGGGTTTAAGGCTCGATTAGGATTTAAAAGCATCGTTGTCGTCGTCGTCGTACACGATGATAATTTGGGATATGGAGGAAGCTTGCGGGTGTCTCTTCACGGCGAGCACACTCTTTCCTGCAAAGTGGCGTCGTCCTGGCCACCTGCCATCGCCACCGCCACTCCCCCCCCCCCCCCCCCCGCGACAGTCATCGCACGGCGCCTGATAAAATCTACGGTAAACAATCCACGGTAGCACAACCCATCGATGCACCTGCACCAGCTGGCTTCGATTTGACCATGGCCTCTTCATTAACGAAATGGACCCTACCCCAACCACATGTGACGAATCCACGGTTGGGGTGATGGAATGACCGATGCTTGGATGTAGCCTTTCACTGTCGTCGGATGTTCGTCGCCTGCACTGATTCCCACACTGGCCCAGTTTTGGCAAGTGGGTCTGAATTCATGCTGTAGGTGGGCGGTGAGAAGTCGGAGCATTAAATTGAACCATGGGTTGAACTGTTGTCACAATAGCAACAACAGTCCCAAAGTGGCGGGTGGGTTATTTGTCGCTGAACTCGCTTTCAGCTGTGGGTTTTTCTCGCTGGTCTTGCATTCTCGGTTTGACCACTCGGCGCCATGCCGCCCTCAGGGTTTTGTTATTTATCGCTCCGGCAGGATTCCATTCGACTTTGGGAAATAATGCTAGCTGGGTTACCTGGCTGTGTTCAGTGTTGCTGATGACCGCATCCTGTGTGTGTTATTGCTGCTTTTCGTTTTTTTCACTCGAAAGTAAAGTGTTGGCTGTGTGGAGATGGAACTGTGGAGCGAAGTAACCAAGTTTTGTTTAGAGCACGAGGGTTCATCCTCACGAGCGCCGACCTTACCCTCTATTTGGATAATGAGCTGTGCCAACCCGGTTGCATTCCTTTGAACTCGCACTCGCGGTCGTCGCCGAGCAACTCCAGGTTGTCGAGCAGTAAGATATTTCACTTCAATCGCACTTTACCATTTTTGGAGTTGTTTAGTGATTGCCTGTTCAGAGATGAGTCACCGTGAGGATGCCCGCTCCTCTTTCCGCAGATCCACTGCAGCCGAATCCATGGCGTTGGTTTCAATCGATTTGACCTGTCCCCTCGTTTATTAGACCTTACGAAGTGGCGTATAAATGTGATAGACTTTAGTTCCAGATTCTTGCTTACAAAACAGAAAGAATTCTCCTGTAGTTTGATCTTGTGAGACCCCAGACATACAGAGGTCAAGTCATCTTCATCTGAGAGGAGAGAAGTTTCTCGTGTTATTAAGTGGGGACAAGCGTATTTTTCCTTACTGAGCAGCTGAATAAAGTAAATGTACCTGCCATGGCTAACTCTCAATCCACTGTCTCAGTTGTGACGAAATGTTCCATGTCAGGAGAGTAGAATTCACCTTCGAGGCTGCTTTGTCGCTTTCCAGAATCTTCATTTCCCTTTCATCACAAGACAAGAATTGGAACAAGCACCGACGATGAAGCCTGTCTTTTTGCTTTTTTTTTTTGTGAATCTAGAAACCTTGCCACAACTATTCTGTTTCTTAATTTGGGAGTGGCTGAAGCTCCAAAAGTACAATGATATTTCCGATGCTCCTAAATTTGACAGTTCCTGCGGAGCATGCATGGTGATATTTGCTAAGAGCTGGCGTTGATTGCAAGTGAAGATTGCCGCAATTAACCATCAATGGCCGTAAATCTTTTCCATTAAGCCTTGAGATTCACATGAGCCTGTCGCGTGACTTGTAATCAGAAGAAGTTTGATCACCCCCTTCAAGCTTTTTCAAGTTTGTGTCAAGCCAGACGGAAAAGAATTTATGCTAGCTCTGGACTAGACTCATTGCTTATCTTTGTTTCCAGAACTCCATCTGCTAACCCTCACACTGTCAACGTCTACAGCATCGAACTCGGTCCAGTACGCTTCTCATGAATACCCAAATGCATGAAGTGATGGTATGGTTGACCATCGTCACGACTCTTGGTTATTGATTCCCCTGTGGCCTTTCTATGCAGTGTCAATGGGTTTTTATCCCCATCTTTCTGTTTTTAAGAATTTCCTCTCGAGGTAGTAAGGATTGTTTTCTACACTACCCACCAGATTAACTACGTCACATCTTTCGGCGTTGAGGACATCACGAAGTTGACAAGCTCTTGCGAGAAATGGTTAATTGAAAAATCTTCTTTGTTGCTGTTGTGTAGCTAGAGCGGTAGGCCACCGTGACAATGAGAGGGTCATGGCTGCCGGAGGAGTCTTTCCAAAGCTGGGGGAACTACAGACGGGCACTTGCCGCCACACCCAGCAGATTGAAGGATCGGGTATTTGCACGCACAGAGGTGAACGAAGAGGTGATCTCCATGAAGGCCCGCAGCAATGTGGACATGAAGAAAAACTTGAACTGGTGGGATCTCATGTGGTTCGGGATTGGAGCTGTTGTCGGCGCAGGCATCTTCGTTATCACCGGAGTGGAGGCCAAAAACTATGCTGGCCCAGCTATTGTCATCTCCTACGCCATAGCTGGATTCTCTGCCATGTTGAGCGTTTTTTGTTACACCGAATTCGCTGTTGAGATCCCTGTCGCTGGTAAGTGTCTTTTGACGCCTCATCTTTGTATCTACCTGCTTTGCGATACTCTCCTCGCGCACCGAGTTCTTCATGAAAATTAGGAAGAACACGAGGACGACAAGAATATCTCATTGCATTATCTCTACGCAGGGGGGTCTTTTGCATACCTGCGGGTGGAGCTTGGCGACTTTGTGGCTTTCATCGGCGCAGGTAACATTGTCCTCGAATATGTCATAGGTGGTGCTGCCGTCGCTAGGGGGTGGACCTCCTATTTCGCTTCCCTCATCTTTAGTGGCATCGACGTTGGCGACAGACTTCGAATTCACACTGACCTTGCCGAGGGATACAACAAGCTCGATCCCATTGCTGTTGGCGTGCTCATACTTGTCGGTGAGCAAAAATATCGTCTTCGCTCAGGCTCGACGTCTGGCGCTGCTTTTAGGAAGAAGTGGCACGTCCTTTGATTTGAAAGAAAAATAGTAGTTTCTGAAGAGATGGTTTTTGGTGAATTTCACAGGATTGCTTGCGACATGGAGCACAAAAGGAACATCATTTGTAAATTGGATCGCGTCCATATTAAACATGTTCATTATCGCCTTCGTAATTGTTGCTGGTCTGGCGCATTCGCATTCCCACAATCTCACCGACGACTTCTTCCATTACGGAGCGCGGGGCATATTCAGTGCAGCGTCAGTCTTGTTTTTCGCGTACCTTGGCTTCGATGCAGTTTCAACGATGGCGGAGGAGGTGAAGAATCCAGGGCGAGACATCCCGATTGGCTTGCTCGGGTCCATGGTCATCTGCACCTTCATCTACATCATGATGGCTTTGACATTGTCCCTCATGGTACCCTTCACGGATATCGACGAAGGGGCTCCCTTCTCGGTGGCGTTTTCGAGTGTGGGTTGGAATTGGGCCAAGTACGTTGTGGCGCTGGGCGCGTTGAAAGGGATCACTACTGTCTTGTTGGTCTCCGCAGTTGGACAAGCTCGGTACCTCACGCACATTGCCCGCTCACATATGATCCCGCCGTGGTTTGCCCGCGTGAACAAGCGCACACAAACTCCAATTAATGCCACCGTCACCATGATCCTTGCGAGCTCAATCGTTGGCTTCTTCACAGACCTCCCGATCCTTGGCAACCTCCTCTCCATGTCCTCCTTGTTCATCTTCTTCCTAGTGGCAGTGGCGCTCCTTGTGCGCCGCTACTACGTCCCCGGGGAAACGTCTCCCAAGCATGGCGGTCTCTTCATCACCTACATGCTGATCATCATCGCTGCCTCCATCGTAATCGCAGCTTTCTGGGGAATGAACAAAAGCGGCTATATCGTGTACGCTGTGTGTGGACCCATCTGGTTCCTGGCCACGCTCGCGCTTCACACAACCCTAAAACCTCTCCGGCAGCCGAAGACATGGGGGGTCCCGTTGGTGCCATGGATTCCGTCTCTCTCCATCGCCTTTAACGTCTTCCTCCTCGGCTCTCTGGACCGGGCAAGCTTCGTCCGGTTCGGATACTGGACGGGGCTCATGCTCGTGTACTACTTCTTCTTCGGCCTGCACGCGAGCTACGACACTGCGATGTATCACTCCCCGGATCTGGACCCGAAAACGCTCCGCGACGAGGAAGCGCTAAGCTCGAAGTCAAATGAGCCAGTAACGGGCCCTACTGCTGCTGCTGCTCCGACCAAAACCTCCATCACCTGAAGGATGGAACTTCCCACATGAAGGTTCTAATGTGCTCCTTAATCTGCAAAGCGGAGGTATCCTGTCACCGCAAGCGCATCTGCGCTCCTCGTGGCTCGCAATTCAATCAAGCCTTCACGGAAGCGCGTCCGATGATGAAAATAGCAGCCGCTGGCTGCAGTTTATTCGAGGAAATGCTTCTATGCTCGTAATTTTATCACGAAAATGCGATGAGCATAACAGTTGGTTGACGTTTCGGCGAACCCAATTCCCGTCGACGAGCTAATCGTCGCGACACTGCGCTCACGGCGCGAGGTGGTTCTTACGGAACCAGATGGGTGTCGGAAAACGCGACCACATCCTTTTTGTTGCAAAACTTTACGAGTCAAATAGTAACATACAACCATTTGTCTTGTAAATTAGCTTAGTTTAGTTACATCATCACACTTCTATAAACATCATAATACAAATCATTACACGTTAATCAATACAATATATTATGTAATTAATATTTGCTGTCTTTGCTTTGGAAGTATATCAAATGCAAGTTTTTGATGTATATCGATATTCAACAACCATTGGTAATTTAAAAATAAATAAAAATGAATAAAAATAAATAAAAGAATCCATCTCAATTACAATGAGGTATCAAGGTGCTCTACAAATCAATAGTAAATGTTATTTTAAGAAATAAATAAAACTGTAAATTTCAACATTCAAAGTGGCAATTGGATAACGTTTTTGTTTTTAACCTTATCATTAATTCATGGTATGATTCTCAAAGAGTTTCCAACCTTTCCATACTTAAGTTGGTCAATAAATTGTTTATTCCAATTTAAGATCATTGATTTGAAATTGTTCAGAATTAGTTCAACAGGTAAAGGGGAAATTACTTGATTTTTCTGCAGTGATTTTATACTACATGAATTTTCTGGTCAATTCAAATTTGAAACAATCAGAATGCTAACTTAAAAAAAAGTATTTCAAATTATATTTACTTCTTTGTGTTAGTTTTACATTCCCATAAATTTTATCTGTTTGTAATTATGATCATCTTGCAATCTAATACTGTGTTAAAATTTCAATCTTTTCTAAAACATTCCAATTTTATGGTACAATAGTGAGATTTAAGATTTAAAATCCATAAACTAATGGTGTAGTTCAAAAGACGTAATAAACAAAAACATGCTTGAATAACTCTATATGTATGTGTGTATATATATATATATATATTTGAATACAAATGTCCAACATGATCATATGGTCACAAATTACTCGCATATCCAAAGCTTGCATGCTACAGATCCAATTGGGTATCGGAACTTAAGTAGTGCCGTTGAAATGGGCAGCTGTAACAAGAAGAAACCAGCCACAAAATTCGTATCAAATCAACTGCATCAAGGGCTAGAAATAAGTGCATGAAAAAATCAGTGCAGGTCCACTGTGCACTTTGAGAGGGATCCAAAGTCCAACATTCTTGGTTTATGTAAATAAGGCTTGGGATGAAGATAGCCGGACCAAGAGACATTGTAGACAGCAGGAGCGAAACCGGCGAGGTGAGGGATGGACAGTGAGCAAATGAGCCATAGCTTTTGCGGGGAATGCTCAGAACTGGAGTATAGGGCCGCTGGGCAAGACCACAATTGTGTGGGCGGTGATATGATCGGGCGCGCACACCGGCGCTTCCTGCACCGAGCACAATTGACATTTAATTGGAGATGCAAGAGCATTGACATTAAATTGGGCCGCAAGAGCCCTAGCATTTCCGCCCTCGCCGGAGCATGTCTATGGCCACGATCTAAAGGCTAATCGCCTCCCTCTCGAGAGTGACGGATGTCGAGGCTGCCAAGAACATCGTGGTTGCGCAGCCGGGGAATCGAACCCCGGTCAGTACCGTGGGAGGGTACTATGATGCCACTACACCAGCTGCGCACGTGACATGCATCATATTGGTTTAGAAGCAATTTTAATGTCTTCTCATTCTCGCCCCTTTCGACGGAATCAACTTCACCCAATGCACTACCTCCGCAATGTTCTGAGGCTTCGAAAAACGCAACAAAACAGTTTAATTATCGATAAAATAAATAAATAAAGAAAAATGAAAAACCCTATCAAACCAATAATTCTATTGTGCACATTAATGTTCTCTCTTCCTTCGCTTTTTTTTCTTCTTATTATTATATTTTATTTTAAAATTGTGGAAATATATAGTCATGAATTGCCTAAGTGTAATTGGCTAGAAATTACTTGAAGTTTTAAGGCCAAGAACTTGCAAAACTTGAATTGAGAATCTTACTAGGATTGTTTACCACTTTTTTGAAAGCAACTGGAGCAAAAATACTTGTAATTCTAGCTCACAAAGTTCGTATAAAATCAACTGCATTAAGTGTTTGAAATAAGTACATGAGAGATCAGTGCAGGTCAACTCTGCTCTACAAATCCGCAACTGCACATAATTTACTAGGAAGGCGAGGTGGAGGTTGACATCTAAAACCCATTTTCAGTTCTGCCATGGTTTGTGTGTTTGGTGAACTTTATTAGGTTCTACTCAAGCTTCACTACCCTTCAGCTCTCCAAACTAGGTCCAAATGGTTCTCAGCCAGAAACCGCAGCGAGGAAAAGTCTCGGGTATTGCTTATCAGACATCGTCGATAATCCACAGTCCTGGCAGGATGAACACCATCAATATAATTCAATCGTATTGTAGACAATCTGCTACAGATATATTGCACAAACTGGGATAATGAAAGCAGGTGGCAACCAATGAAGTTAAATACCGCTCTAGGTTAGGGTGAAAATTGCGCCTAAATCACGTCGTGTCAAGCACATTTAGCCACGTCGTTTACTCATAACTTCTAAGCACCTTGACAAGCGCAGGATTCAATACCACGTGTAGTACCCTTAAGTGAAACATGCATGATTAGTATGGAGGAGACCAGAAATAAAGGACTTGGTACGTCACCTAGAACAGAATATGAAATTTAACAAGCTGAAGTACTAGTATGTTTTGTTGACATAGGTCTTGATATAACACTCTATGGACTTGCTTCTAATATTTGTTGAGATGTGAAACAGGTTAATAGAAACAGATTTGCAACTATGCGCTCACGTGGTGTCCTCACCATCTGCATGCATGTCTCCAATTCTACATCACACTCATGAACTGTACGCTATCTCGATCCTTATTTGGGTACACACAAGTCAATGTCGTTTACAAAAGCGCAGTATCGTCCCTGACAGTAAAATAAAATAACAGAACAGATGAATACAAATTTTTAAACAGGCATAACAGCGTCAACACTTCAGCGTTTCTGTTGATAAACCAGTATCTGCGCGGTATAAACCTGATTTATATATCAAGTGTCAATATGCAACCAAAGGCGTAACGAAGGAATAAATCTGACAGGGGATTAAGTTGGCTGCCTATACTGTCTCTCCCCCTCTCTCTCTCTCTCTCGCTCTCTCTCTCTCTCCCGCTCTCAAATTCGTACACGCACATGTCCACAACTTTACCACATATATGGAAAGCACTACATAAGAGGAAGCAAGCAAGGAGAGAGATAAAGTATGAAGATATTGATGCCCGCTTTCAAAAGAGATAACCTTTTCACCAATCGTTACGTTCTTGAAACTTTTTAAAATGTAATGCTGCACTCGGGATTTCACCAAACCACCCATGACGACCACTCTTTCGAAGTCTACTCCAGAGACTTCTATAAAGTAAGTCAGTTGATGAGGTTTTTTCTTTTTTCTTTTTTCTTTTTTCTTCTTTATTATAATAGCAGCAATGCTGACAAAAAAAAAAAAAAAAAAAAAAAAAAAAAAAAAAAACTCATCACGAAATATCCATGTGCGTACCCCGAAGAAGAGCGCCTGGTGAGGAGCGGAGCTGGGACACGATTTGCGATGAAGCTGTTGCATTGTGCAAAGGCAGTAAAGATAGTACGCACGCCATTTCTCTGGGCAATCTATAAACCAACAATGACAGAGGACAGTTACAGTCAGCAAAAGACGAGAGACGCCGCATGAACTTCTATAACCTTTCATGACCTTGTGATTCCAGAACCGCCTCACCATTTGTAAGATGCAATCAGTATCCAACCTCCAATTGCACATATCACATAATTGCTACAAGGGTGACCCAGCTACCAGGGAAAGAAAAAACAAGTCAAAAGTTCGAGGGGGGGATCGACAGATCATCAAATCGAACTATGCTTAAATGGCACAGGGTCATTGACCAACAAAGTGTAGATCATCACACAATTCACGAAACTCAGCAGCTAAAAAACAGCTATACACAACATATCGTCGCCGAAGGCAAGTCAAACAAACATCTACGACACTCATTGAAATAAAAGTTGCTTCGCTCAAGCACACCTTCCAAAGAATGACGTCGGTGTGCGAGACTGCATGAAAGATGAGCCAGATGAGGAGAAGCTCCGAGAGGCAGCAGGTCGAGGCGCTCCAACTCCAACGCCTAATCCTTCTCTAGCTGCTGCACCCATTTCGCAACCACTCCTGACTGTCTTACTACCATTAAACCGCAACCCTGCTCTCGCAACTGAAGCAAAAGATCTCGCCATGTGGCGACTCGCGCCCGCCATTGCTCCTCGCCACTCCGACCCTTCTCTGCTCCAAGCTCGAAAATTCCGATTCCCCCTTCTGTCCAAAACCAAATTTCAGCTACAGGTTTGAACCAGGGCTCACATTCGACAATTCAATCAAGCGAAGGGGTCGTAATTGGCGACGCTACTGCGATCACGCCAGTTCGTTAATCCTGCGAGCCTCGCCAGGGGTTTAGGGTTCCAGCATCACCCTCCCGTTTCCTCGAGCTTGTTGAGGCTCTGGTCTGAAAATCCACTTCCATCTCGCTAGTGTGAATGGTACCCAGTTGGCCTCTGCTCCAAAACTGAAACCACTTTGATGGTTTGTGTGTGAATGACACCCATTGACGAAAGAGAGTTTTTTGAAACGGTATTTCTGGGATCTGAATTGTGTTGGCTATCGTTATAAAATTTTACTGTCAATTTTAATGTTAGTTTCTCTTGGTGTTAAATTCTTTGAAATTTTGATGGTTTGTTGTATGAATGTTTATTGTTGCATGATTGTTTTCCTTTGGTGTTGGTTACATACTCAAAGTATAACAATTTATAATATTTTTATTTTATTGTATGAACTTTAAGTATGTATTTTTTTAAAACCTATTACATAATTATTTTTATAGAAATAGTATTAAATACATATTATTATTTTTAAAAAATTCAAAATTTGTTGTACAAAGTTAGATCATCAATAGTTTTTGAAAATAACAACCAATTTAATTAAAAGAACACAAGATATAAAAGGTATTTTTAAATGCTCATTTTAAAATAAAATAAAATAAAATAACATGAAGAAAATGAGTTTAAATCAAAAAAAACTTCAAATGTATATATATATATATATATGTATGTGTGTGTGTATGTGTGTTTGCTACAAAAAACTCTTAATAAATAATAAATTTATGAAAAAAACACCACTACTACAATGAATTGCATATAATTATGAAAAAAAATAAAAAATATAGATAAAATGTACTATGAAAATTTAATGGTTTTAGATATTAACTATGAAATCAAAATACAATATTGAAGTTTCTACAACTTCAAATAAATGCCAAAACTACTAATGCAATGGTATAAAAATACCACATTAATATCTCATTGAATATACCAAAGAATTTCAAAAAATTCAATATAAGATGTAGTGATAAATAGATTAAAAAATATAAAATATAAAATATAAAAAACGCAATTGTGCTTTAGTGTCTAAAAGAAGGAACAATGACTTTCTTGTCTTTTGTTTATGATCGCTCTTCTTTGTCCTTCTCAATCCACAATGTTAATATATCATGAAAAATTAATTATATATAAATTATAATTTATTATTTCCTTTTACTTCTTATTATGTTATTTGATTTTAATTTTGATACACCATCTTGTCTCAAAGATGGGTTATAATATATTTTATGAAATAATTTAATATATATATATATATATATATATATATATATATAATTTTTTAGAACTTAATATTAAGATTTTAATTAAGTAATATCAATAATTAAATTTATTATTATATATATATATATATATATATATATATATATATATTTTAAAGCCACATCTCAATGTTTTTAAAGCTACACCTTCTAAACCATGTAATGATTGATTTTTGGAAATAGGAAAGAAGAGACAAGGATAGAAAACAAGGCACTGGGATTGGAAACAGGAGACAAGGGATGGAAGACATAGAATACAAGACAAAAATATAGATAGACAAAATTGATCATAATATAATAATGTCAGATATGACTTTAATAACTCCCTACATAAGTATCACAAAATATAATTTTATTTTTCATATAACATGAAAAAATATTAGTTATTTTTAATTATTTTTTATAAGATAAAGAAAAATATATGCATTTTGATTGACTATTGAAAAAAGAATAAGAAGTGGTTGAAACCATGAAGATTTTTAAGAACCAAGTTGTTGGAATCTAATAATAGCTTCTTTATTTGCTAGATTGATTAAGGACATAGCATAGTAAAAAAGAGTGATAAAAAAGATTTTAGTTTTTGATCCATGTAAGATATATGTTTATTATTTTGCAACAACATCTCTTCAAATTTTCCAATTTTTTTAAAGTTTTTTTTGTGAATATCCAAAGCTAATTGAAAAATAATGCATAGGTTGTTGATACTTTTTATGTTGGAGATTTTTCAATAACTGTTCTATGATAAAGAACTATTTAATATCCCACAAAAATGTCACTTGAATATTTAATAAATACACATTCTTCTAGAATTGCAACAAAATTAGAGTAATATGTACTTGCAAGTATTAAACTTCTTATAAAGAATTTTTCTATGTACATGAGGAGAATGAGTACAAAAAGACATAGATATTATGCCATATGCTTTAGAGAAAAATACATCATATAATTTAAATTTTGAATATTTCAACAAGTGGAGAATCAATATTTTGTATGTATAAGATATCACACACCCTTGCAATTGGCTACATGACATAGTCCAATTTGCAGTAGATGCTTTTGCAATCACATGTAGAAAAAAATATATTGCATAAGGTGTATTTTTTTTTTGGATGTGAATTTGTATCATATTTTTATCCCGCCTTTGTTTTCTTTTTTATTTTTATTTTTTGGATAGATAGCTTGCTACTTTCATTCATCTTTCTCATTTTGTTCTAAGTCATATATATATATATATATATATATATATATATTTTTTGTCAATGTACATTTTTCAAAAGAGCTTCTTTATTTTGTTGCAATAAGATTGTAGAGATATATAAGAACTACATTAACTTCGTGATTTTTCTCACGGATATACATATTAATTCTAATAATTATTTAAATAATATGAATAAATAGAAATAGATAAAAATACATCAATTTCATAATATCTTTTAGAGAATCTTTCTAAAAGCTTTATAAATGAGATTTTATTTTTTATACTTGTTTATAGGTGATAGATGGATTAGAAATTTAGCCAATAAGTTAGCTACATATCGCATTTATAAATAGCTTGTAGTATAAGCTAACATTCTTGTCAATTCTTTTGTCTCTTTTTGATTAAGAATATATATATATATATATATATATATATATATATATATTTTTAAATTAGCATATTATCTAGACGTGAATAATCTATTTCTAAAATTGATATTATTTTCAGAATTTTGTTTTCCTAATCTTCTCTTTTATTTATCTTAAGAATCATTAAAAATCATTTTTTTCTATTGTATAATGATGAGAGAGCTTGGTGAATAAAAAATGCAATAGCACAAATTCAAGAGCGATTGAAGAAGTTAATGCTTGCTATGCATCAACTCAATTTACTACCACAAAGAGAAAAAAGATTGACAAGTAGTGAAGATATAGAAATGATTGGAGCTACTTCAATATCTACATCAAATTATACTACTCTTTCTATGGTGGGACATAATTCAAGTATTAAAAAACCAAGAATTATCTTATCCAGGAAGTTTGATGGTATAAGATTAAATTTCAAGGATTCATCAATTTAGTACAACTGACATTTGAACTTTAATTCCAAAGCTATCTAACTCCAAGATTACAAGTCAAGTTTATTTATAAACTTCTTTTAGGTTTTTAATATTATGATTTTTATCTTTTTTTAAATGACATGATTAAATATTGAATAATTTAGAGATTTTTTTGGCAAAGTTTTGATTCATTTATGGAACATATGATACATTTTGCGTTGTAACAAATAAGATCCATATTTTACAATAAGGCAATTAATTTATAATATTGTATGCTTGACAATTTTCACAACTTGCAACAAGTATTAATCAAGATGATGCTACACTCATTAATCAATTTTTTTATAGATTATAACATGAGGTAAAAAAATTGATGCTTAATTTATCTCACTTTAAATATTAAATCAAGCAATCAGCTTAGATGTGAAGTGTAATAACCAACTTTTTAAATTTTGATTTAAAAGTTGCAAAAGTAGGCCTCAATATTATTTCAACTTTATGGAAACAACAACGTCTTTTCAATACATATATTTAGAAGTAGAGGATATGCAAATTCATGGGATATGTTTCAAATTTCTCATTGAGTAAGAAAAGACTTGTTGTTTCCAGAAAGGATTGTGTTTATATTATGGAGAACCTAAGTAGACTACTCAACATTGTTCAAAGAAGCAATACAACCATAAAATAAGGAGTATAGCTATTAAAGAAGTCACTATGCAAAAAAATAAATTTTCTCAACTATAATAAAGATTGCGCAATTCGAACCTTGTACAACACCTAATAAAGGTTATAATCTCTCTTTAGAATCTTCTCATTGTTTTTCAATGATGTTAATTTAAGACCTAAATATCACAAAGCTTCTATCCTACTAGATTCAAGAGTCTTAGTTCATTTCTTAAATGAAGAATTTGTTAAAAAATATAACATATCTTTAATGAAGAAACCTAAACTTCTTCATGTAGAAGTTGTAGATTGTCCTCTATTGTCTTTCAAAGATATTATTCATGAAATCCTTCCTATACAAGTAACAATTAATGGTCATAGTAGCTTTATAATATTTAAAATTATTAGATTTTTTTTGAATTTATTTATTTCAAATTTATCATTATTAAAAAATATAATCTTTAAATAGATTGAATTTCTTTTAATCTTTATTTTTTTGAAAAAATAATTAAGAATGTTAATAAAAAAAAAATTGTGAGTCTAATACAACCAAATCCATTATTGTAGGTGCAAGAAATTTCTTGCATGTTACAAAAGAAAGATCACTTTGTGTTATTTATGCCATACATGTTTTTAATAATAAAAAGACTTTAAGTAGAATTCTAAGTTAATATCAAGATTTTTAAGATATATTTGAGAAAAAAATAAATATATTTTTTTAGAACATTATTCCTATAATTACTCAATTGACCTTCAAGAGAGAATTCAATTGTCATTTGGACCAATCTACAATTTATCATAAAATAAATTGACTAATTTTAAGGAGTATATCAAAGAGAATTTGGCCTAAAATTTTATATGTCATTCCAAATCTCCAATAAGAGCTCCAATCTTATTTTTAAAGAAAAATAAATAAATCATTACATATGTATGTAAATTATTGAGGATTTAACAAGATCACCATTAAAAATAAGTACTCTCTATCTTTGATATTTAGACTTCTTAATCAATTAAATCAAGTTAAAATCTATACAAAAATAGATCTACAAGAAATATACAATCTAATATGCATCAAAAAAGGTG